CCCTCCCCTCCCGCGCTAGCCTAAGGGCCACCTTAGCAAAGCGCATCCCAGGCTGCATAGCCGCACTACCCTACCCAACCATACCACACATAAACATGACACTACCCCCGGGGTTTACACAGACGAGCCGGCGAAGCAAGAAGAGCGCCAGAAGAAAGGGCCCTAGCCGGCGGGGCCCAGCCAGGACAAAAGGAGGTCCCACAAAGCGCCTACACCGGCCGCATTTGCGGTCGGGGTAGACGACGGATGGGGCCCACCTACGAAGGCTGTCCAGGCCTACACGAGATGAGGCAGGATAAAGAGGGATAATCCCTCTCGATCCCAAATCATTGAGGCCAATTTCTAGCGATGGAATAATGGCGCGGCGCGCTCTCAGCTTTGAATCACGATCACTGAATCAGGATCAGACAAACAGGAACTAGATCCATGAATCCAATTTCGAAGAGAACAGGATTTTGTTTAGTGTTGACATTTGATTTGATTTTAAATATCGTTTAGGTATACCTATTTTTCTGTAGACAATTAAAATAAAAATAGTAACTGCCTTCTTACAGAAAAAAGAAACAACTACAATTTTAAGGTTATATTAAATATGTTATCGTGATCAAAAGTTCGAATCACAGAAAAAGTTTGATTCGTAGGGGAAAGGGGATTACCGATCCTGATCATATAATTTGACAAGATCCGGAAACAAGAAAACAGCTACGAACATGATTTTGGGATCATAACGCGTTTAGATCCGAAAACGGCTACCGAAAGAAAGCAGCTATTGTCATTGTCAACTGTCACAATTTTCAAATAATTTGCCCGTTACAAGACAATTTAGAACAATTTTATAGTTTTATTGCATTTGCTTCTACATAGTTAATTAAAGAATCATAGTTTATATTAATGTGATTAGTTAACGAATAAGTATGTTTCGGAGATCCAAAAGTAGCTCTAACATACCGTTACCCAAAATCAATTCAGCCGGTGTCGGTACTTATAACATAAGAACTCCTAAAGTTGGAAGATCACGATCTACATCAAGGTAAGTTTTCTCTACAGATGATACAAATTTTAAGGAAGTATTAAATATTTTAGACTAAGTCAAAGAGAGGGTGTTACTTTACTTCCTCAACTTCGAACACAGAGGAAGTCTTCTTTAGATCGAAAATCTAGTACCCTTGGTTTACTCAGAACCACACCCCTACATAGACCAACAGCTAGTTCTGGTAGCTTGCAAAGAACAACTCCTACTTCTGCTATTAGTCAACGGACAAGTAATTCTCGAGTAAGTTTTTTTTAAACTTAATAGAATTCGAAAAACAATTATGTAATTTTTTTTTATTTAGTGTGCCACTCCATCATCATGTCGCAAGGAGCATGTAACGATACAAAAGCAGTCAACTGACAAGAAATGGGTGGCAGAACAGTATGTGAAGGTAAAAATATTTTTCTTGAAAACGAAAGGAAATACAGGCTATTTAAATTTGCTTCTCACTACAGGGATCTCGAAAACGGTAAGAGATACGAAGTAGCTTAAATGAGGGCAAAGTTGCATAATCAGGGGACCAACATTATGCCTGTAAAAAATCAAGGCGAACATGATTAATTTTCGAAATATTTGAAAAAAAAAAAAACAAATTTTGGAAATCCGTTTCTATTTCATTTCAGCCTTGTTTGAGGTGATATTGAAAAACGAAACACTTTCTCATGGCAACATCTTGTCCTCTATCGAATGGGATTTCACAGGATCTAACGACACTTAAAGTGTACGACAATTCAGAAAACATAGAAATCTAATAAAAAAACGTCTGAATCTGGTTCTGGCTGAGACAGTACGGTATTAGGTGCCATGAAGGCTTCCAAAAAATTTAATAAAATTTACAGGGTCGTATTAAAAAAAATGAAGTTGATGGACCTGGAAAGACGAAGCGTTATATAAAAAAATTGATTACGCCATTCGACAGAGGGCAAAAAGTTGCCATGAGAAAGTGTTCTTTTTTCAATATCACTTCAAACAAGGCTGAAATGAAACAAAATCGGATTTTCAAAATTTCGGTTTCTTTCAAATATTTCGAAAACTAATCATTTAAGCTACTTCGTATACTTACCGTTTCCGAGATCCCTGTAGTGAGAAGCAAATTTGTAACAGCCTGTATATAATTTTTCATTTATTAGGTGCAAAATTACATAATGTCCAGCAACCTCTTCGATACACGTGTTGTTGATTCAACTAACATCAAACCTCCATCTATTAATAACTTCATATATGTGACTGGAGTAATGCTTATGGAGATTTTCCCGAAAATTAAAATTAACAAAGAAACTTACAAAGAGGTGATACCTGCAAAATTAAAAGTGTTACGTTATCCAGGAACTTTAAGTAACTCTGTTTTAAAGACTGGTATGTGGTGGAGTATTTTTTATTTTATTTAATAATTTGAGGCACTTAATATGTATAGTTTAGTTGGGGTGAGTTGTTTATGCGTAATAATATGTTTCCAGGAATATTAATTTCAATTTTTTTTTCCTAAACTCGGTTGTGTGTGTGCGTGCTCGCTTATCAATGTTGCCTATTGTTACATATTTAAACCAACTGTATACGACTAATGAAGAGACAGAGAACGAAACTGCAATGAAAAATAATTTAGTAAAGAACAGTTTGCTTTTGTACGACTGTGAACTGTTATTTGTTGATTTTTTTTCTTTTTTTTTAGTAAATACGATGCACTCTTGGCCACAAGTGATAGGTATGTGGTCATGGCTCATCGATAAAGTCAATTTATGCAAAGACATGGACGATTTCTCCTTTACTGATCATTTGGAACCGGAAGAGAGGAGAAAATTCCTTTTGAAACAGGTAAATATGATTTTTTAAGTTCCTTTCAACGTATATCTCTTTTTGTGTACCTGTGTAGAATGCTGAGGATTTTTTGGTGAAGACTTACAACATATTTAATATGGGAGACAGGGATTATGCAGAGGACATCGAACAAACTAACAAATCCTATGTGAATAACTTGGCGGAATTGCTCGAAGTAGATTATGAGCAATTCAAACATCTTCAGGACGATGTGGAGAAAAAGAGAGAATACAAAAATAAACAAGTGCAAGATATAGAAAATTTGAAGACGGAAAATACGGTGTGTATGCATATCTCTACTTTTTGCCTTACAGTTTATCGTTCTAAAATTTTTAGAATATGGAATCGGAAATAGAGCAAATGAAGAAGGAGTGCGTAGACTTTGAAGACAACGACCTGATTGAAGAGAAACAAATAGAAAACGAGCTTCAACTTCTACAGCCCAAGCTGAAGGAGCAACGTAACAAGATAGAGTCCACTAAAGAGAAAGTTTCTGCTTTGCAAGAGGCCATAAAGGTGCAGCCATGCACATATCAAGAAAAACTGGCTCTTTTGCGACAGATTGATGAGCTGAAGAGGGACGTTCAAATGAAAAAGGAAAAACTCGAGTATGCTCGTGAAATTAAGTATAAATTCGACCACCAACTCACAATGGATATCAGTAAGGTAAGTATAAAGGAGCTAAATAATATACATATGTTGTATATGTATGAGCAGTTATCAGTGTTGCCTGTTGTTACGTTTGTAAACTACCTGTGTGGAATTAAAACAGATAGTTCAACCAAATTACACTTGAAGAAAAAAAAATTGTTACCTGTACTTTTATAAGCGGAAATGGTAAAAAGGGCTTGTAATAAATCTAAATAAAATAAATGCGTGAGCAGGGGTGGCAGAGGGTTGATTTGGGGGGTTGAAAAGTTGTGAAAAATTGCATCATTGGGATTTCTGACAAAAGTTGACGTCAAACAAACAAACAAAAGTATCTAATACAAAAGTTGTAGATCATGCAAAAGTCTAAAACTTTTGTAGAGGAATTTTTAAGATCTGAAAATTTCCGAGAAAAATGCGAAAACAGATTTTTTTCTGATTTTTTGTTTTTTATTTCTTATTTCCCCAAAAATAATTTAATTTTGACGAAACTTGGTGAAAGTATACTTTTCTGTCTTAAATAACCTCAATTTTTTTTAGATAAAAAAATCATGAATTTTCCAAGATATTAATTTTTTCCAATCTGACACTTTTTTTTTTTCAAATAAAAATTCTATTTAGAAAAATCATTGTACAGAGTTCTGCCAGTGATAATTTTTTTCGTTTTGATATACTTTTTGGTGAAATAAAAAAATCAGTAATCACAGTTCAAAAACATGCTCAAAAATGCAAAAAAAAAATAAAATGACTTGCAACAATGAATTTTTCAGTAATTGTTGATAATTTGTTTAAATTAAAAAAAATTCAAAAACTGATTACACCATTCAATTCTACGGAAAAAAATACAAAAAAAAACTGTGTCATTGTTTGACCCAAAATTTTATTTTTATATAGTATTGCTATAAACATCTAAGTCGAATTACAAATGCACAAATGATAAATTATCTCTGGATGATTTGAGATTTCAGCAATACAAAGTATTAACTGAAAAGTCTACTGTTGACGCGAAACACATAAAAACCCGAAATTTTGCAAAATCTTATATTTTTTTTGCCTTTATTTGAAAACGAATTTTAAAATAAATTGCATATTTACATTGACACTTTTTTGCTCTATCCAATGGTGTCAACATTTTTGCAATCCGACGTTTCGTCTTCGTGGGACCATCATCAGGTTAATTTTTTTAAATATATCGCTGCTATTTTTATGACTAAATCTAGTCATTTTTAATTCTAAATTAGATGATATTACTATTTTAATCGTAATCGTAAAAAAAAGGTTTTTAGCTATCATTTAAAAATTTTTTCCTAAGTATAGCTCTGAACGCTTTCAAAATATCTATTGGAGGAAGTCATGACAGTATAAAAGTCAATACAGTACAAAATATCCAACAATTTTTTTTAATCAATAATTTAGAAAGTTGTACCTAATAAAAAAATAATACGAATTTATTAAATGTTTTATTATTTTTAATTAGTATTGCTAATAGTAGTAAAAAAAATTGTTGGATATTTTGTGCGGTATTGACCTTTATACTGTTATGTCTTTATCCAATAGATATTTTGAAAGCACTGAAAGCCGTACTCAGGAAAAATTTTAAATGATAGCTAAAACAAGCTAAAAACTTTTTAAGTGATTACAATATCATCTAATTCAGAATTAAAAATGACTAGATTCTGCCATAAAATAGCAGTGGCTTATTTAAAAAAATTTACCGGATGATGCGAAAAAAGTGGCATTGTAAATATGCAATTTATTTTCAAATAAAGCCAGAAAAAAAATTAAACAATTTTGCAAAATTTCGGGTTTTTCCGGATATCTCCGGAACCACCCGGAATTTTAAAACTTTTTAAATGGCATATTGTTAGGTATAAAAAACACAACTTTTTTCTATAGAAAAAAAAAATTATTTATTTTATTTATACACTATTGGACTTATGTTTATAGTAATACTGTAAAGTTTTGGGTCAAACAATGAAACAGTTTTTTTGTATTTTTTGCGTACAATTGAATGGTATAATAAATTTTTTAATTTTTTTTTTAAATTTAAAGAAATTATCAACAATTACTGAAAAAATCATTGTTGCGTCATTTTATTTTTTTTGCATTTTTGAGCATGTTTTTGAACTGTGATTACAGATTTTTTTATTCCACCAAAAAGAATATGTCAAAACAAAAACAATGATCACCGGCAGAACTCTGTACGATGATTTTTCTAAGTAGAATTTTTGTTTGAAAAAAAAGTGTTTCAAACCGGAAAAAATGAATATCTCGGAAAATTCTTGATATTTTTATCTACAAAAATTTGAGGTTATTTAAGACACAGAAAGGTATACTTTCACCAAGTTTTGTCAAAATTAAATTATTTTTGCGGAAAAGAGAAATAAAAAACGAAAAATCAGAAAAAAATCTATTTTTCTCATTTTTCGCGGAAATGTTGAGGTTATGTTAAAAAGTGTCCTCTACAAAAGTTGTAGATTTTTGCATGATTTACAACTTTTGTAATGGATACGTTCTTGTTTGACATCAACTTTCGCCAGAAATTCCAATGACACAATGTTTCACAACTTTTCAACCCCCCAAATCAACTCTCCGACACTCCTGTTCACGCATTTATTTTTTTTTTTTCAATTGGTTCAAGAAATTAAAATAATTCTGTAAAAACGTATTACTAGTGTGGGACTTTGGAATATGTTATTTAAAAATCATAATTTTTTTTTGTTATGCAGGCGAAGAGCACTGTACATAAAAAAATTCCTAGTGTTTAAAAAAAATAGTTTTATACATGATTTAAATAACTAACACTTTGTAAATGTGGATCTGGGGGTCATCCACCCCTATTTAAATTTTTTATTTCACAAACTTTTTCTACTCGTTTGTTGTTTTTAAAGTTGATCTAGAATTTTTTTCCAGATACAATCTTTGGTTGGCCAATGGAACTGCTCGCTTATGGAACTATCCATAAAAAAATCATATTTAAATAAACTGCTGCTGCGAGAGAAGGGATTTCACGATCCCGCCTTCTTAATGGAACTTAAAGAGGTATTGGATTATAAAGACAGCGTGGAGAAGGAGGTGGCGGAAGCGCTGGTTAAGGTTGAAAATGATTTAATAACGGAAATGGAGAAAATTCGTGAAGTTGAAATGGAAATTTGTGAGTTTAATGAATTTGTTTGTCGAATCAACGAAGACTGCATGGCAGTCACTGAGAAGATAGCAGAAACTAACGAGAGTGTGAAAAATGTTAGTACAATGGAATACAAATTTGATTTAAATGACTAACCGTTTCTTGTAGCATTGTTTTTTCAGAACTGAGACAATTTCAACATAATTCTTGAGAAGTTGTGCAAAAATTGTATTTTTTTTTCAGATTATGGGGGCTTTAGAGGCAAACAAAATATCTCACGCTCAACAAATTAAAGAATTGCAAGATAACGACAGTTTAGATATCCAAACAAAAACGATTAGTGATTTAGAAAAGAAGCAGGAGCACCTAAATGTAGTAGTTAAAAAATTTGGCCAGAAAATGTTGAGTTTCTTTGTAGAAATGCACAATCAAGTTGTTACTAACCTTGGTGAGATGGAGGGCATACAGGGCAAACTCGTCCAGAAAATCGAAAAGAAACAGATGAGTATCGTGGAGGTGCAGCAACAGATGTTAGAGATTTTAAAAGCTTTGAAGCGTTAGATCTTTTATTCGTGTATTTATTATTTTTTATTTTTGTAATAAAGTTGTTATATTTTTATAATTTTGTAATTTCATTAAAGATATTATAATTTTATTTACTTGTTTGCAAAAGCAATTTGGATGTGAAGCGGAAAAAGTACAGAGTGGGCTAATTTCGATACTTTAGCGGTTTCTCACGTTATCTGAGGAAGAAAATATAAAACATTTAAGATGGCTCAGAATCAATTTTTTAGAAGCCAAACGATAAAAATTGTCTGGAATTCCGATGTCTTGATTTACTTCGTACAGAGGCTCTCCAGCTTGTATACCACATTTCTAGTTAAAAAAAATTATCACGGAACTAAATTGAATTTGAGGGAATGATATAAAGTGGTTTATTACTTACAAGGTATACAGGGTGTTTTGCATAAGAACCGACACGGAGCAGGGGCATGTAGGGAAACCCAAAATATGGTGATTTAAAGCAACTTACCTTTATACGAAGCTGCACGCCTGCGAAGTTATAGACCTTGAAAGTGAGGTTTCAAATTTCGAAAAAATCAATATCATACTTGAACTTAGAAAAACTAAATTTGTTACATTGTGTAAGTGTACCAAGAGCATTAATGGACAGTAAGTAGAGTTCAATTGAAGCATTTTAAAGGGTTGATAATGGATGATGCATCATTAAAATGTGACAAAATTTTTTAAACCCGCTGGGGGACTTAAAAGATTATTCATTTTATGGAAAATTTAATTTTAAAACTTCTTGTTAGTTTTCAAAAAACTTTGTCGTTTTCAACAAAAACACGAATAACTAATAATATGTATTGTAGCTGTAATTTAATACCATCAAAAATTCAAAAGTTGGCTATGAAGTCAAACTTGGCGATGAGGAAAGTCATTTAATTTTAGTAATTGTTTGCCGAGTGTTTTGAAAATGGCCGGGAAGTTTTCATTTATTTAGCTAATAAGTTGACATGCTATTAGTGTTAGGTTTCTGTGAAGGAAACCACAGAAGTGTTGAAGAATATTGGAAAAGATTTTCAAATTGTGTAATCCCCCATAGATAAACATTTTCCAGTGTTGAAAGATGGGCTCGAGAAACAGGCAAATTTTTCAATAACACTCGAGAACGTGCTATTACAATCAGGGTACAAGACGAAGAACTTATTTTGAATACAACTGAAGATGACCCACATATTGGTACTAAAATTCTATCTCGACAAACTGGTATATCCCAAACTTTTGTACACCGAGTGATCAGACATAATCTACTACACCCATATCATAAACAAAAAGTGTAAGAATTATTACCGAAAGATTTATTTCAACGAGTGAATTTCTGTCAGTTTATTTTCCGTTTCACTTCGTAGTGTTGTTTGGCGGTTGTCATGGCAACGAGGTGGCCAACACGTGAGTAAACTAAGGTGTGGGGGAACGAGTGACGCTTAAACTGAAGCAGCATCACCTGTCTTTAAACAGTTTATATGATACGTCGCTCAGTGCTCAATTATAACAGTTCTTTGTTAATATTTGTTTTGTATCAATAATTGTAGAAACGTTTCCTATGTATGATCCAGTATTATATTAAAAATATTAAATGCTTAGATTATGTTCTTCAGAATTGTTTAAGTTTGGAGAATTTAATTAGAGTACCACAGTAAAACATTTCAGGAGCGCTTCCAAGATAATCGTTTATATCTGAATTTTGTGAAAATTTCAGGTTTTCCAAATGGTGAACACCCTACTTATTTTGTACAGGGAACCTTGAAAACTCCAAAGTATTCAATTCAGGTTACTTTTTACCACCCTGTAGAAGCCAATAAATACTTAGCAATATCAATTTTCTCTAAAAAATCGAAAAGGAATTTCCTCCAATTTTAGGACCACGTGCATTATCTAAAGGTTAAAAAAATACGAACAATTAGTGATCAATCATATATATTGAATGTGATACAGTTACATCAAATAGACATACTAGTGCTGAGAATTAACTTACAAATTATATTACCAAAAGGAAACTTTATTTTCCATACCTTACAAAATATTTACACGAACATTAAGAGGGTGGTGGAGGAGGGGGTGCCGTTAAGAGGCTATTAACATCGATCCCTGGAGGAGGGGGAGGGGGGCAGTTACTGGGAGGCCAGCTGAAAGGCGGGGCTCCCCACGGGGGCATACTGGAGGGAGGTGGTAAATTGGCCCCATTTGAAGCACCCGGTGGAGGAGGCTGTGCCGTCCACGGCATCATCTGTGGCGGACTGGAAGCACCGGGCGGCGGTGGAGGCGGCATAATTCCGGGAGGACCAGGAGGCCAAGGCATGTTTGGAGGCCCCGTCCAAGGCGGTGGTGGCATTCCATTCATCGGCATGGACATCGGATTTGAAGCCATCGGTGGTGGAGCCATCAGAGGCCTTGGGGCCATCTGTGGCTCGAAAATGTTGAAACTAGTTTTGCGTGAGGTGTTGGGAGTCCCATTTTGTTGTTCGGGCGGTGGTCCTTCTCCCAGTTCCGCCATAAGTGACATGTATTCTTCATCGATCTTTGCTTTGTCTCCCGGTAGTGGAGGACCTCCTTGGCCGGGTCTCTTGGAGCGACAATCACGGGCAATGTGACCTGCGGCTCCGCAACTGGAGCACACGATGTTGTTGGTAACGTTTGGTTTGTCAGGACACTGAAATGGACAAAATGTTTAGCAAACATAGCAAAAAATGTATCAGTTTTGTATTTTGACGTAATACTCGTATCAGTGATAATAGGTCATCCATCATTCAAATTCAGACCCGAAAGATGGTTAAACATCATTTTAAAATGGTGTATAACTGAAAGAAAATGTACCTTTCCAGGAAATTAACAAGAAAAGTTCATTTTGACAGTAATACACAGAAAAAAGTTTTAAGATAATTCAAGTTAATATCCTATAAAGTTAAAAAAATTAACTACGAATACTTACCAGCCACGATTTATGATCTGTAGCTCCACAATTATTGCACCGCATTCCGTCGTTTTCTCTCAATGTACCGTTGAGTTGTGCAAGTTCTCTCAACTGCATCCTTCTCAAATCGTTCTGATTCTCCGGCACCTCAACACCTTGCCTAATAACTTCTTTTATCTGCAAAAAAAAAAGATAGTAACACGAACAATAATTATCACAAAATTTAATTACCCTTTCCACTGCCTTTTTTACACATTCAGGATTTGTAGCAGTGATGTAGGCGTGCAGCGGTTCGTCTTCACCAGGCAAAGGCTGCCCGTCTTTCCGTCCGACCTTACCTTCCTTCACCGATCCCTTCCCGCGGATAATTATTTTGGCCCCGGTCTCCTTCTCCATCGCTGCAAATATCAAAATCAATGATTCGTTTAAATAAATAACGCTATTTCAAAATATGTTACTTTTCAAAGTGTTTCCTCTGGGTCCAATCAAAAGCCCCACAAAATTTATCTCTGGATGCTCCTCTTGAGGTATCATCACCTTGTCGCTTACGCGAATCACTGGGGGTCTAAAAAATAAAGCAGGGTTAGCAGATAGAAATGCATGACGCAACTTTTATTGAGCATTAAATATATAAAATTGCAGAAAATTACTGTTTACCCTGATTTCATAAAAGGGTGATATTAATTTCTTACAAAGTCGTGGAATAAGTCACTGTAGCAAATGTTTTATATTATGAACTTACTTGTAATCCAATGGAGGTTTGAACTCTGGATTAATTGACTGCATTTTAAGAACCAGGGCATGTCTCTCTTCCTCCAATCTTTTTCTTGTACGAAACTCCCTAGTGTTCAACCTCTTGCCGTCGCTGCTGTAAATCGGCTCAGGCGATGGAGATCTGCATTAAAAATTCTAAAATAAACACCCGCCCTAGGTCCCCCACACCGCATCCGAACACCGATTATTAATAAAAACGTATAACAAATTAGTTTTTCTATAATAACTGATCTAGGTTGCAGTGGTGTGGAAGATCGTTTTAGGTCTTAATTAGTGGCCTGATTGTTATCAATTTTGAAGAAAAATCCACATGATTATGGCATCGCTAAAGTAAGCTTTAATAGATAATGATGTGGATTGTGTGGTGACTCAGAAAAGACTTCCTAAGGAAAAATTTATTATTAATTGCTGCAATGAAAAGAATTAATTAATGGCCTTCTTGACTATTAGTGGCTGAAATTGAATATTTTCATTAGGAATATTTGATATTTTATCTAAAACAGAAATATGATTAATCTGATCTCACCTAACTATAACCATCAAGCATTTTTTAGAATGTAGCAGAACAATTTAAAAAACCAATACTAGCTGATGTGAAAGGACTGCTAAAAATACAGTTACTTTGAATAATATTTAAAATTAATTGATTTAACATTCTGATTTGACCAAAAAGTCAAATTCAAAGTCCAAGTCAAAGTAAGGCATTTTATTTTAGCAAAAGAATAAATGAATATATATATTTTTTTTATAAATACTTATACTGTAAGACTAAAATGCTTGACTTAAAAAAGCTGGGCTATTTTTATTGCCAAGACTTGAAAAAAATATTTTTTTGACATGAAAAACTTTTTTTTATAACAGTTTATTGTATTTATTTATAAGCATTTTATCTCGTTTGTATCATTTTCTATTATTAAAAATTAAATTCAAGATTAACCGCAGAAAATAACGTAAAATTTATGAAAAGTTGTGTTATTTGCCTCAATATTTCAGAAGAACTTGACATATACTGCAAACTGTTCATAACAAACACCACAATCTAAGTTCTTTATAAGGTGAATGCAGTTTTTTAACCCTTTCACTGCGCGGTACATCTGAACGTAGCTAACGCGCCGTACGCTAAAGCGTGCGAGTATACTCGTCTGGAGCAGTTAGACTACTTATATTTTTACATTGTTGTGTTAAATTAAATTAAAATATGTTTAAAGGTTTCAAAATAATTGTAATAGTTTAGTTATTAATATCCATTAGCTCAATCTCAAACTCGTTGCCGCCATTGTTCCTTGTCTGTCAATTTTCTAGAAATTTTTACGAATTTATTTTAAATAAAATACAATATATCGACAGCCGTACTAAATATAAACTGAAAAAGAGATGAACAATCTTGGAATTATTATTAAAAATAATTGCAACAATTGCTATAAGCTCTGTCCGCAAATATTCCCTATACCAATTGCAACAACCGAGTCACTAATGCGCATGGTTGCGAATATATACGGTTTAATTAGCCTGATCCCATTTAACTATTCAAGCGAATTAATTCGTCTGGAGCTGTTTGAGTCCTATACATTTTTAGCGAATAAACTCGTCTGGAGCAGTGAAAGGGTTAATGAAACCGCGGATTTAATGGCAATTATACTTGTCTTTCAAAATAGTAAGTAGTAGTAAATAAATAAAACCACAATTATTATTTTTTAGTCCCACAAAATAATTTTGTATATTCTCTGCATGGAAATTCCCTTCATTTAGCATAGGTCTACTGATATATTTAGCCAGCATGTGTGCACTTATATGTTATTATTACAAGCAGATATTTGTATCTTTCATTCTTTACTCATCATATACAAAAAGAGACTAGTACAACGTATTTTCATTTTCAAGGTGCCAGTATCCAGTTTGGACGTTTTCTTTCATGTCATATGCGGGAAAAATTTTTGTTATTCCAGTGTATTTTTTAAAATGTATCGTGCAAAATTATAGTGGCCAATCAGAGTAGTAGGTAATTTAGGTATCCAAAACATATTTTTGAATCGAAGAACTGCCTATCACTTTGGGACTCAAGTATAGTTGCTGTTCTGAAATCGAGTTAAAATTTCACAAATTCTGGGTTAATATCGAGGCAATTTCAAATGCTGTCGAACTGAAACTTAGTTTGTTAGATCCGCCTTCTCGATACTGCACCATTTTTGGACAAACAAGATATAAGCTATCAAACTGGTCGAAGTACAAATTTTCAATCAATCAGTATTTGATTCATGTCAATCGGTTTTTCCATTAGAAAGTTAAAACCACTTCCAACATTTATCTAGTGACTTAAAAATAACCCAGCTTTTAATTGAGACAACTAAGAATTATTAAAAAAATAAGTGTAACATTATAGTGACTGTTTTTTTTTTATCGTTGCCAAACCACAGTTCTTGCAGGAGTGTTGAAACTGGGAGACAAACGACAGTGGATCATTTCGCACCTTTCTTCCGGATTGGGGGAAATCCCGAGGTCGCCCGATCGGAGTTTTCGGCTCACTTCTTCTATCTGCAGTTGAACTGTAATGAAACGGGTTAGAAGAGGGCAAATGCCCAAGAGTTAGAAGATTTCGGCAGATTTTAATAATAGTAAAAGTAACCTAATTCATTAAACAGTAAAATCGACTGTGATAGATGGTCTCCTTACTCACTTAAATGTTTTGACCCAGAGACTTCAACAATTTCAATATGAAACTAGACCTATTTTCAAAAAAGGCAATATATTATTTGATAGATATAACTCCTCACAGTAATATGCCAAAAAATCTAGTTCAATTGATTTTACATACTATATAAAAGTTAAATAATATTGGTGGAATATTTAAATAGATAAAAATTAATTTTACTTGCCTTTTACTCTTTTAAACCAGAATAAACTTATTTACCTATTTTTCAAATTATTCACGACACATTCATAGAATTTTTGAACTTTAATTGCTTCGCCATGAGTGCAAAACACATTTGTACTTACATTAATTTTAATATGTGATTATCCAAATACCTATTTTTGGGGGAACTTGATGCATTTATAAACAAAATTATATTGAAACATTAAGTATTGTGTTGTTAATTAAATATTGGCTAGACTCGAGCCAATTAAAAGAATATATTATTAGATGCTTAGTTCAAATAGAGCAAATTAATCAACTTTTTGCTGAATATATATTTAAACATAAATGTTAGTCTTGCTAGAGCATATTTTATTTCTGATTGCTTTAAGAGGCTGTAAAAAGCTGCAACATATTATGGAATACTTAATCTACTATAATATTAACATAATCCTTCTCTTCCACAGGCTTAATATAATAATTAAGCTTCTAGTTGGTGTCTGCAAAAGTAAATTGTTATTGCTTTGGTTTAAGTAACTTCAGAAAATTATCTATACTTACAAACTGGTTGTAATATTTATAACCATATACAATTCCACCTAAATTATGTGTAACACCTTATAAAATTCATTAATACATTTTCATATACAATTCCACCTAAATTAACTGTAACACCTCATAAAACTTTCATTAATACATTTTCATATACGTTTCTAGTACTTACCAAGAGGTAATCTATGTAAAATTATTAAACACATCCCCTAGACATAATAAAATAACACTAGTCTCAATCTAACAATTTTTGTACTTGTTGAAAAAATTTTACTTACGTAAATATGCTTGTTCCTGATCTTTGTCCAAGTTTGGAGGTAAAATCGTAGGCATGCCGGGAATGAAAATCTTCTCGTGTTCGCTCCCACCCCACCGGGATCTTCTCTTTCTCTTCTTTTCGTCATCTCCGCTACCTTTAAGACAATTATATTTTCCATCATACACGATAATAAATTCAAGAAAACGTACCTGTAGAATGATTGGAATTACCATCCCCTTCTTTAGAAATCAAGTTTGCAAAATTTCTAGTAGCTGCGATAGTAGCTAGGGTATCGGCTATCATTTTATCACCATCAGGCTCTGGCGGTGTCTTTTCCCGTTCCCTTCTCCTATCACGGCTTCGACTTCTGTCTCTATGCCTATCCCTATCACGGTCTCTGTCCCTGTCCCTGTCTCTGTGCCTGTCCCTATCTCGGGATCTACTTCGCCTCCTATCTCTTCTGTCCCGGTCTCTATCGCGGTCGCGAGATCTATCCCGTCGTCTTGATGAACCCATTTTCCGTTTTTCTTCACACACTCACTATTAATATTGATCCAATATGGCCGCAACAACGCCTTAATTCAGTATAAACCAAGAAGAGCAACGCAACGTAACATGAGCTATCACAAAATGACAGATAATCAGATAAACACACAGTGCGCAACTTTTCTAACGTGACATGCGTATGCGCATGCCCATTTAATCTTTTATAAGTGCTGCCAATATTTAAAAACTTTCATGAAATCTTTTATTTCCGATATATTAAACGATCTGAACTGAAACAATCACATGAGTGGCTGCTTTCAGAAAATCTCAATTATAATTCGATGAGCAATTATTGTGTGCTTATCACACCTGGAAATAACGATTAGTAATCGAAGAAAGAAATCATACGCCATTTTTTTAATCGTTTCGACTTCGAGCATATACTAATGGAGGTAGGTCCGTAAAACGGACCGTGGCCATTCATTCTATCGCGCCGCGCGCGCCATTATTCTATGGCTAGAAATTGGCCTCAATGATTTGGGATCGAGGGGGATTATCCCTCTTTATCCTGCCTCATCTCGTGTAGGCCTGGACAGCCTTCGTAGGTGGGCCCCATCCGTCGTCTACCCCGACCGCAAATGCGGCCGGTGTAGGCGCTTTGTGGGACCTCCTTTTGTCCTGGCTGGGCCCCGCCGGCTAGGGCCCTTTCTTCTGGCGCTCTTCTTGCTTCGCCGGCTCGTCTGTGTAAACCCCGGGGGTAGTGTCATGTTTATG